AATGCTTGTTTAAAAATCCCTTAACAATCTATTGCCACATTGCATGTCTGATTTATTTTCTCATACAAATCACACAACACTTAGATCACACACTAAACAGAAACGACATACGCCCAAACCTAGATTAGAATTTTGCAGAAAAGCCCTTGCATGCTCTGGGCCTAAAATCTGGAATAAATTGCCATTATATATTAGGCAATCACACTTGCAATATTCAAAAATGGTGGTTCTCTGGTGGGAACCTCTGCTTTGATGCTATGTAAATAGTTGTTTTTATATTGGTTTGAATTATGATGATGTTTGTTTTATAAAAAGCTTATTTTCAATTTGGATTGAAATTCCCCTTATAATATCAGTGAAGGTTATGAAACCATCTAACAAGAGGACATTTTTTTCGGTCATCTATTGATTTTATTCTATTGCGACAATGACTTTATGTAAGTAACACACTTTGATTTAAGTGTTTCTTTACTTGGAGAGATTTTATTTAAAAGCGAATGATTTTTTAAATTTTATTTTAACCTTGTAGATGAACTGTTATACAACTGATATACGAGTTATGATCAAAGAGTTCTCGGCCCGATATACATCTAGCCACTACAGTCAGGGGGTCGAACGTATAGCGGGGCGATACTCCTTTAAGCGAGGTGATTTCATGCGATACGCCCTAATGGCGGATTTACCCGTGTAAACACACGTCAGAGTGAGTGTTTTTTTATTAAGTATTTCATAAATTTTCGATTACAATTGCATATTTTGTATTGAGGATGTGAAGATAGGACCGACACACATTTCATCAAAATTACAGAGGCCTTAATTCATAATTAAAAAAGTTATTGAAGGTAAACTGACGGCAACTAATTTTGGGTCGGTGAATAAAATTGCTTAATGCAAGATTTATATTAATATAGTTAATTTCTTTTTCTTCTTTATTCTATAAGAGTAATCATAATTGAGTTGCATAGCAAGTACCTTTGTGCTCCGATATACATAGACGCTTACTGGTCAAAATATTTAAGTGTACGCTGGATTTTGGTGCGATAAAATAACTGTACGCTGTTAAAGGTTCGATATTTTTCATTATCACATCTGCTGTACATGTTTTCCTATGATTATACTAAGATATCTACCATATATGTGCCCGTTTCCGGAATTCTGAAATCTTCTTCTTTCCTTAAAGATTTACTTGAAATAAAAGTTTTGTATAACCATCTATATAAGTGTTTGAACTTAATTTGAATAATTAATAATAATTATCCTGTGATAATTAGGAGTTGGAAAAAAGTAACCTTTACTCTAAGATCTTAGATAAAAAGTAGGAATTTGACCAAAATATGTAAGAATGAATTTAAGAAACAAATTAAAAAAAATCTTGTATAAATTAACTCACTTTCAAAGCAGAACATTTCAGAAAAATAGCTGTTTATATGTGATATAAGGGCTGTTTTACTTCATGGGGTTCTAAGATCTTTTGTACATGCTGCTGTTAAACTGATATTTTTTTCATATTATAAATAGAATTGAACATTTCAAACAACCTATAAAATACAGTGAAAGTACATTTCACTGCTGTTTTAGAGATAGAGACTGAGAACCAGGTGGTAAAAATCTGTAGGTGGTAAAATTCCTTTCTAAAATGTTGCTTAGAACAGGCTATTTTTGTAGTGCACATAATTGTGGCTTGTCAGGAAAAAACACAAAACTACAATTTCAAAATTCAGTCAGTCCTTGGACACCAAACAGCTCAGTGTCTTTCTTAGGAACAGCTGATGCTCACATGTGCAAATACACAGTTGTAAATGTTGCAGAGCAATTAAAACATTACAAATTGATTAACAAACAAAACTACTGCCAAATAGTTAAAGTACCACAAGTACAAATGCTGACACATATGCAAATAAACAAAAAGCTATTGAGTATATAATATTAGATTGAGTCACACTGCTTATGGAGTAGTATATAAATAACATGTGGGTTTTTGGGTTACAGTTAAAATATCATCCCAAGGAAAAAACTGTTAGCCAAGGTGTTAGCCGAGGGAAACCGTATTTTTAGGAGTAGTATATAAATAACATGTGGGTTTTTGGGTTACAGTTAAAATATCATCCCAAGGAAAATACTGTTAGCCAAGGTGTTAGCCGAGGGAAACCGTATTTTTTAAAGGGTTGATATTTTTAGTGTTACTCACAAACGCTTGTGTGTTATTTATTTTATTTCCCGAACAGATACTGTAATCTATAATACTTTTATTTACATAAAAAAAACACTTGCCCAGATTTTATACTGTTAAAAAGTGCTGTTGGCCTGTAACAGTACAAATCTTTTGGTACACTTGCTTTAACAATAAGAGTAACTCCTAGTGGAAATGAATATTTACAAAAAAATGAGGGGTAATGCTATACATTAAATGTTGCAGAGAAAGCCTAGTTTTAAAAGTAAAACTACTGGCAGATATGTTAAATCACTAAAAGTATGAATGATTTCATAAGCAAATACACAAAGCTGTTTGGTATACACTGGTTATGGAGTAGTATAGTTATATATTCAAAGCGACAGAGCTAATGACAAACATCAGAATTACTAAAATACAATGATGTGCTCTGTATATAATATATAACATCCAATCCATAGAGGAAATCAAACCAGTATTTTTTTTTTATAAATTTCAAGTTCCATTGCAAAAAAAATAAATGGAAGAAACAAAACGAATATTATTGTGTCTATTTATCATTTGATAGAATTTCAAATTCTTATCTCATTTTAATGATTAACCTTTGTGAGAAAAGAATATTTAAATTAACTATATCATAGTATAATACATTATTGACACTGTTGTTTTAATTGACACTGTGGTTTACATATGATTAACATACAAACTCAAAACTTGATATTTCATCAAAATTGAATAAGAAAGTACTGTAATGAGGAAGTTGCTAAAGAAAAACATACCAACATTTGTGCGTACAGTGGTTTATCGGACCAAATATTAGGCGTACAGTGAGAAAACTGGAAATATTTTATATATTTTCGGATAGATATGGAAAACTACTTTTGTATATCGTTTTGTTTTCAAAAATAAACATGTTGGGACTTAAGCTAATCGAATATCTCGTTTTAAAACAACTGATACATTATTCGTTTGCATGTGCATATCAGTTTGACGGTTGAATTTGCAGCAACAAATACCTCAATAACTTCCTCAATTCCAAAAAATTTAGTATTTTATTTTGACAATCATGCACAATTATAAGTTCTGATCAGCATGCACAATGCTATTCTTCAAAAAATTACAATAGACAACAAATATTTGGGAAAAAACATGCTCATACCCACTTTCATTTTCGCTTCCGTTCGCCATTAGGGCGTATCGCATGAATTGACCTCGCTTAAAGGAGTATCGCACCGCTATACGTTCGACCCCCTGACAGTGACATTTACCCACGAAACGTCGAAACCGATATCTTATTGAAGATTACTGACCGAGTTACACGCGGTTTAACACAGATTAAGTAAAGTAAAACACACTTTGATCAGTAGAGGGGTGTGTCATTTAGACCAAAATGGAGAAAGTTGAAATCAGAGCCATCATTAAGTACCTCTGTAAGAAAGGGACTCCTTCCCAAGGAAATCCATGAAGACTTCATGGATACACTTGGGAAGGAGTCCCCTTCCTATAGCACTTTGAGCAAGGTCATACTATAAACGGTACGTACTATGCAGACGAATTGAGACGTCTGCGTCAAGAAATCGCGCGTAAAAGGAGGGGCAAACTGACTCAAAGCGTTCTGCTCCTGCACGACAATGCGCCAGGTCACACATCCAAATTTGCGATTGTTGCTGCAACTGATTTCGGCTTTAAAATTCTTCCCCATCTCCCATATTCTCCAGACATGGCCCACTCTGACTTCTACCTGTTTCCGAAACTGAAAACCAAGCTTTGTGGACCAAAATAAAGAGTTTTATTTTGAAAGGTTAAACAAGTTGGAGCACAGGTGGGCAAAGTGCATTAATGTAGAGGGCGATTATATTGAAAAGTAAGACCATTAGTTTGGGTTCTCTGACTACCGGAAGTACATCGGACCGAGAACTCAATCCTCGTATGTTTATACCTTTACTGAAGATTTACTATTGTTTATATCTTACATTTATCTTCATATGTACTAGTAAGAGAATGAGTACTCAACTTTTATAAAATTGTACATTTAATTAAGACGTAAACAATAAGAGAGTAAAGTTTCTTTTAAATGCACGGTGATCAGTTTTCTTGTTTTAAATTACACAAACTGTAGGTAATAATGCTACATTAATTCATGAAATTCACAATACGTTGTATCTTTAAATCACATTACAAAATCCTTTTTATATAAATGATATTGTTCCATATTTTCAGAATTAAAACACACGTATTTTAGCAGGTATATAAAGTATAGATCTTGGCAGTCAAATGAAATAAGACTATGCATTGTTTAAATCTTACAACTCACATAACATTCGACAAGAAACAAAAGATTCGACTTCGGGATCTCTCACTAGTCATGCACAATTATTATTATTATGAAAATGTGAGGCACGATAATTGGTATTTAGTATGACAAAATATTTGAATTCAGTATTTTAATTATCTAGTTTGCATTTCAGAGAGTCTTTATTCTAACGCTTTGATTAAATTTTCTGTCAGTCTATATAAAAGATGCATCTTACTGGAAGATAATAGATAAATCACTGAATTTAATCATTAATTTAAAATCATTTAATCATCTTGTAAAATTAAATTAGCCACAGGTAATACAACAGTCCAAATAAAATACCGACTTGTACCACAGTCTGTTTAAGCTATGGGTGTAATGAAGTGCTTGATCAATTGTATTATTGGCAACTCTATACATGTCTTTTTAAAGGCATAATAATAGATTACAATTTGTGCTAAATTAACAATGTATAAGATTTTTAATTTTGATAGGTGCAAACTTAACTATCCCGTTACGCCTAAATTGTTTATGGATAATAAACAATAGCACTGAAACAAATTAAAAGGCGTTCAAGGGCATCGCCAGTATACATGTAATATAAATCTTTAAAAAAATGACATGGAGTTAAATAAATAAGGAGAGTACTAAATTCCTCTCATTACATATATTGAATTGAATATATACTTTTACGGGATAGTTATTCAAATTAAAAGAAAGAAATTAAAACTAAGACAACTATTAAATGCTTTTGGATTAAAAAGTGTTAGTGTTTGTGAAAATTGTTTCTTAAAATGAGCGGTAGACGACAACTAAAACGGATTGACGAAGAAGATGAATATGCACTGAAGGTACAGCTATTTAAGCATCATGTTTTAAAACTAACTTATTCTACAAAATTCCATATAAGTACTAAGCATTAAATCTGAAACAGTTTTTTTCTCCTCGGTAAAAGCTAGCTACAACAGATTAGAGCCATCATTTTACCAGTCACTTCAATTTGTTACACAAATGAGCATGGTCACACACTTTTTCTATGGAAAAGTTGGGGTTTTCGTATGCCAGCTTTTTGAGCTCATATTTCTACAAAGAATGAATAACTCTAGCCTAAAAGTTCTGAAGGCATATTCAATCAATCTCCTGGTAATTAGCAGATTCAATTAGAAGCAATTAAATGTCATGTATCAAAATTACAAACCAAAGTCTTTTAAAACTGTTGAAAATGTTCTGGTTTTGGAAATGATAAAGTTTATAATACACGATATTATGATACATTTTTATCCCTTGCGTTTTACAGGTCTGTTTTTTTATATTCCGTCCCCGGTTTAACTGAATATCAAATTTTAAGAATTAGGTATGTGCTTTCATTGAAAACACCAAAGAAGGAAACATATTATTTAGAAACTACGGACCACAATTAGTTTTAAGTTTGTTTTATTTCAATAAGAATTACACCTTGAAAATCAACATCTACATCAGCACTTTTTGTTTGTTTGAATCGGGAATAAAAAATTTGATACATAAATCAACCTTTTAGAATGATTAATCATAAGAATAAACGTAAACACATAATTTGTGGGTTTATGTGCAAATACAAGGAATGTCAAGCGAAACACTTTATAATTATTTCTGTACATCCTACATTCTACAACATTCGGATAGTATTACCATTATTGTTAACATTAATTCTTTATCAAATAAAATATGTGTATTCGTGTAATTAACTTTTTTTGCAGTACTACATGCCATACCCTCTACATGTAGCAGCTAAGAAAGGTGATATAGAAGCAATAGAATTTCTTTCAAGGCGAAAACATGTCAACTCCTACAACGAGGTAATGTATAAATGACGTGCCTGAAATAATGCACGGAAGGGCACCTGAGGTCTTCCTCCACCAGTAAAGCTGGAACGTCGCGATATGACCTATACTGTGTCGATGTGACGTAAAACCCAAAACAAACAAACAAACAAACAATGTATAAATGACAGGAACAAACTTGTTGCATGCAGTGATTCAAATTGTAGACAAAATAAAATTAAATGTATACAGATTGACATTTTAATACTTGAACGAATAACTTTCCGGTGCTTAAGAAGGTCTTTAATCCTATATATAACACACTGACATATTGTGATAAATGTTAACTATTCATCAATATTTCACATAGGTCGGGCAGATGGCACTTCACATTGCTTCTCATCAAGGTCATTTGGAGGTTGTAAAAGTGTTGGTACAGCTTGGAGCTGAACTAAACACATATGATAGGGTAAGGATAAATAATTCTCTTCAACCAATTTCTCAATTTCTTCTCTTATGTTCTCCTGTTCTTTCAGAGCTGTCTGAGTGACTATCATGTATTTTATAGTAAAACAACCAATATTATGAATATCAATAGTATTAGAAAACATATTTAAGTTAAACAGATTTCATTCAGATATCAACTAAGATATTTTCAAGACACTTAAAGACACATTTTGACACTCAGACTAAGTTAGTCAAGGATTGTGATTTGATATAATGATAGAATTTGTGGTGCGGGGTTTGTATGGGTGGGTTAGGTGGTTGTAATATTCTACTTTTAACCAAACAAATATCTATATGCCGTATTTTTCTCCCTTGTGTAATATTCAATTTAAGTATAATAAATTTTTATGTCCAAAGTTTTATCCTTTCGATTATAATTAAATTACAAACTCAGTATGTCCATTCTTTCTGTTTTTTATTATATAATTATTTTTATATTCATATTAACAACAACAATTTCAACCGATAACATATCTTTAAATGTACATTAAAATGCACCGCAGAAAAACTGCGGCACCATCGTTTAAAACTTTGACAATTACATGTAAACTGTATGACTCTCCGCATAGTTCTCTAAAACTTTCTGTCTTTTTTTTTTAATAATACAAGTATAATTCTTACAAAGGTTCCAATAATGAACCAATGAAAAAATTACTCTTAAACAAGAAATTATTAACCAGTGAAAATGCATTCTATCAGTTATGAAATTATTGATTTGACCAATCAAAATGATTCGAAACACGCTAGCGGCCTGTTTATTCATTTCTTTAAGTCAAACAGATAATCAGATAAGAAAACTTCAAATAGATGTCTTAGATAAAAGTAATGATAATAATGTTTTCATACATGTGAGGTAAATTGTAATAAACATGTAAGCGGTCTGGCTAATTGATAATTTACATATTTTTGAATTTCAAAATTTTACCAAACTTTTCCTAACATAATCAAGAAAATATAATTATAGTATTTCATAAGAATTAAATGAGAAAAATACAGCATAACATACAAACTGTATGTCGATTGTTAGGACAGAGAATTAAATTTGAGTTGTGAAATTGATTTTTCTACTATCATTTCTTGAAGTGTCAATGTGAATGTTTTTAAGAAATATTGGGAAATACCATTTGTGTAAAACAAATTTTGTTAAATATTGTATTTATCGATAATAAAAAAAAAACATCGAGAAGTTAGCAGTGAACAGTGAGCTAAGCAAAAAGGCATTTCACTTTATATAGGGAAGTCAATGATCTGCTGTAATGCTCAGCTGTTTTTGGCATCTAGCAGGGCATTCCTAAATATAGTGTAAAAATGCTCTGCTGCAATACTCAGCTGTCTTGGCAATCTAGCAGAGCACTCCTAGCTTTACTGAAAAAATGTTCTGCTGGAACGCTCAGCTGGCTAGGCCATCTAGCAGTGCATTACTAAATATAGTGAAAAAATGCTCTGCTGGAATGCTACGCTGGCTAGGCAATCTAGCAGGGCATTCCTAAATATAGTGAAAAAATGCTCTGGTGGAATGCTAAGCTGGCTAGGCAATCTAGCAGGGCATTACTAAATATAGTGTAAAAATGCTCTGCAGGAATGCTAAGCTGGCTAAGCAATTTTGCGGGGCATTCCTAAATAAAGTGTAAAATTGCTCTACTGCAATACTCAGCTGTCTTGGCAATCAAGCAGGGCATTACTAAATATAGTGTTGAAATGCTCTGCAGGAATGCTCAGCTGGCTAGGCACTATAGCAGAGCATTCCTTAATATAGTGAAAAAATGCTTTGGTGGGATGCTCAGCTGGCTAGGCAATCTAGCAGTGCATTACTAAATATAGGGTAAAACTGCTCTGCTGGAATGCTAAGCTGGCTAGGCAATCTAGCAGGGCATTCCTAAATAGAGTGTTAAAATGCTCTGCTGGAATGCTAAGCTGGCTAGGCAATCTAGCAGGGCATTACTAAATATAGTGTAAAAATGCTCTGCTGGAATGCTAAGCTGGCTAAGCAATCTAGCAGGGCATTCCTTAATAAAGTGTAAAATTGCTCTTCTGCTATGCTCAGCAGTCTTGGCAATCTAGCAGAGCATTACTAAATATAGTGTAAAAATGCTCTGCTGGAATGCTAAGCTGGCTAAGCAATCTAGCAGGGCATTACTAAATAAAGTGTAAAATTGCTCTTCTGCTATGCTCAGCTGTCTTGGCAATCTAGCAGAGCATTACTAAATATAGTGTAAAAATGCTCTGCTGGAATACTAAGCTGGCTAGGCAACCTAGCAGAACATTCTGAAAAATAGTGTGAAAATGCTGTGTTGGATAAGCAATCTTGCGGTGCCTTCTGAATTATAGTATTAATAAGCTCTGCTGGAATGCTCAGCTGGCAGACTGATTCTGAGTTCCAGGATTTATTGTTGCCAACGTTTTATTGACATTTTCGACTTCTAGGCACTTCTGAGGCACTCGCAGTCTTTCAGGAATTTTTTGTGCCAATAGAAATAATGATATTTTTGACTTCTAAGGACCTTTAAGAGACTATTTCATTGTCCTGCGACTTTTTGATGGACACTCGCAGACTTTCAGGAATTTTAGTGCCAATGATGATATTGACAATTTAGATTTCTAGGGACTTTCAAGAGTCCATTTTGTTGGTCTGCGACTGATTCTCGGACACTCGCAGACTTTCAGGAATGGTTGGTGCCAATGGAAATAAATCATATTTTTGACTCCTAGGAAACTTTAAGAGTCCATTTCATTGGCATGCAGCGTATTGTTGGACACTCGCAGAATTGGTGCCAATAGAGATTATGGCAACTTTTACTTCTAGGGACCCGCCAGAGTCCATATTTATGGTCTGCGACTGATTCTGGGACATTCGCAGATTTTCAGGAATCTGTGGTGCCAATGGAGATAATGACATTTTTGACTTCTAGCGACCCACCAGAGTTCAATTCGCTGGTCTGCGACTGATTTTGGGACACTTGCAGACTTTCAGGAATTTTTATGTCAATGGAGATAATGACATTTCTGACTTCTAGGGAACCTCCTGAGTATATATCTTGGATCTGCGACTGATTCTTTGAGACTCGCAGACTTTCAGGATGTTTAGTGCCATTGCAGATCATAATTTTTTTTTAATTTTAAGGACCCCTTAGTCATAAGCAGAGCATTTTTACTCTAAAATGTCATTATCTGCATTTGCACCAAAAATTCCTGAAAGTCTGCAAGTGCCCAAATAATCAGTCGCAGACCAACGAAATAGTCTCTGGATGGTCAAAAATTGTCAAAATTGTAATTATCTCTATTGGCACCAAAAATTCCTGAAAGTCTCTGACTGTCCAAGAATAAGTCGCAGACCAAAAAATGGACCCTGGATGGTCCTTAGAAGTAAAAAATGTCATTATCTGCCTTGACATCAAAAATTCCTGAAAGTCTGTGAGTGCCTCAGAATCAGTCGCAGACCAAAAAAATGGATTCAGGAAGGTCCCAATAAGTCAGAAATATAATTTTCTGCATTGACATCAAAATTTCTGAAAGTCTGTGAGTGACTCAGAATCAGTCACAGACCAACGAAATAGACTCAGGAGGGTCCTTTTGAAGTAAAAATGTCATAATCTCCATTGGAATCGAAAATTTCTGAATGTCTGCGAGTTCCTGAAAGTTTGCGATCGTTCCAGAATCAGTCGGAGACCAAAGAAATAGACACTTGAGGGTCCCGTAGTTCTAAGTCAAAAATGTCATTATCTGCATTGGCACTCAATATTTCAGAAAGTCTGTGAGTGTCAAATAATCCATTGCAGACCAACGAAATTTATACTTTATTTAAGAATGCCCTGCTTGTTTTGTCTAGACAGCTCAGCATTCCGGGAACATGTTTACACTAATTTTCAGAATACTTTGCTGGATTGCCTAGCCAGCTGAGCATTTTTAACACTATATTTAGGAATGCCCTGCTAGATTGCTTAGCCAGCTGAGCATAACAGCAGAGCATTTTTACATTATATTTTGGAATGCTCAACTAGATTGCTTAGCCAGCTGAGCATAACAGCAGAGCATTTTTACACTATATTATGGAATGCTCTGCTAGATTGCTTAGCCAGCTGAGCATAACAGCAGAGCATTTTTACACTATATTTTGGAATGCCCCGCTAGATTGCTAAGCCAGCTGAGCATAACAGCAGATCATTTTCACATTATATTTTGGAATGCCCCGCTAGATTGCTTATTCAGCTGAGCATAACAGCAGAGCATTTTTACACTATATTTTGGAATGTCCCCGCTAGAAAACAGCATTGCATCATGCCCCGCTAGATTGCTTAGCTAGCTGAGTATAACAGCAGTGTATTTCTTACACTTTATTTAGGAATGTCCTGCTAGATTGCTTAGCCAGCTGAGCATACCAGTAGAGCATTTTTGCACTATATTTTGGAATGCCCCACTAGATTGCTTAACCAGCTGAGCATACCAGCAGAGCATTTTACGCTATATTTTGGAACGCCCCGCTAGATTGCCTAGCCAGCTCAGAGCATTTTTACACTATATTTAGGAATGGCCTGCTAGATTGCTTAGCCAGCTGAGCATATTAGCAAAGCATTTCTACACTTTATTTTGGAATGCTCTGCTAGATTGCTTACCCAGCTGAGCATAACAGCAGATCATTGATTTCCCTATATAATTTTCCCTATATAAACGCCCCGCTAGATTGCCTAGCCAGCTCAGAGCATTTTTACACTATATTTAGGAATGGCCTGCTAGATTGCTTAGCCAGCTGAGCATATTAGCAAAGCATTTCTACACTTTATTTTGGAATGCTCTGCTAGATTGCTTACCCAGCTGAGCATAACAGCAGATCATTGATTTCCCTATATAAATCGTAATGCCTTTTTGCTTAGCTCACTGTTAACTGCTAACTTCTCACATACAAAAACATCTCCGGTGTTATATTTTCTTCATGTAGACTTCGGGCAAAACAGCATTGCATCATGCCTGCTCTAATGGCCATGAATCTGTTGTTGAGTTTTTACTTAAGATGGGAGCATCTGTGTATGATCAAGACAAGGTAAAATAGTTTACATGATTTTTACAGCGTATAACCCTCTTGAATGAGGACACATTTATGATTCGTATAATTTAACTTGTAAAATAGACACTTATATAGCCTTTGCAAAGTGTTATTTCCCTTGGCTGAAAAGATTAAACTTTTAAAAATAGGTAGTTCCAAATATCATACAAAGGTCGTCGTTTTCATTATCATCATTATTGCGAAGTCAGTTTATTCTAATTCGTATGTTTTTTTAATTGCATAGAGATCTTAGATAATATAAGTCCGGTTCAAAGAAAGCTTTGCTTGCTACCTTTTCATTTATAACTGATAACTTAATATTAGAAAGCACATGTAGAAGGTCATGTATTTTTATGTATTTAGTCATCAAAACGGCCTAAAAATAAATCAAATTCATATAATTAATTTCCCGTGTATGATTTTTGAACCAATAAATGTTGTTGATCAAACAAAACATATAAATGACTTTTTTCATCGCTTTTTAGCACATTTTACAAGCCAATGTACGAATCCTAAAAATGTTTGTAATGTGATATTAAGTCTTATCATATTGTTTCACCTTTATCGTAATTTCTAAGTATTGTACCTGCACATTTTCTTTTCTTAATAATTTAGAGTATTGTAACTTGGATGAAGGTCATAATTATTGTAGAGAATATAATAAAATCGTTTACCTTTATCTTCTTCCTTTCTTTAACAGTGCGGTCGTTTTCCTTTGCATCTCGCAGCGGAAGGTGGTCATTGTGGTGTTGTGCGGCTTTTGGCTCGTGCAGGAGCTCTTGTCACGTGTCAAGACAAAGTAAGATTTCAGCTGAAATTAACAAAATTGTGCGTTGTTTTACGACATCAATCTTGTGTCATTTTTGCAAATGTTCTGCTCTCTCTTAACTTTCTTCGCTTTCGAATTCTCATAATATTGGTGTTCATGTTATTTTACTGTCGTATGGCCTCGCCTTCTACGTTGATACGTAATATTTCATAATAATACGAATCTTATATAAGGAAATGTTTCCTTACGGTGATAATTAAAAACAGACATTCAACTTGTCGTACTTATATAAATTACAGAACACATGTCAGTTTGTTCTGGTAGCAATCGTGATCACATATTTACATTTTTAAGTTACAGAATGTGTCCTGAACAATAATGTTAGAAAGAGGAGAACATGGCAAATAATATATACTTCCATGTGACAGATTTTCTCTGGTATTTCCTTCACAAGCATTTAATTAATGTGAATGCGTGTCTAAATACAAGAGAAGTTTAAAAGTTTTATTTGTATTGTGTTGGTTTTTTCGTGTTTTGTTTATCATTTCTACCTTTAAAATTGAAATCAGCCAAAATTGCAATTATTGTACATTTCCATATTTGATAATTCATAATTGAGAACCATAAAAAAGTCCACTCACCATGAAAATTTGCAAACTTATTTGCAGTTTGTAAGAAAAATGTGACATTTAAATAAAGAACGGATTTTTTGTTAGTACTGAAAGTATAGCTGTTGAAAAATTCTATAAATGCAAATTAGATATCATGGTAACAACATTTTAAGATGAAAACATTTTTTTCATTTGTATCTTTCATTGTTTTATTTTATCTTTGTTTTGATATATTTACAGATCTATATAAGTTATGTTGTCAAAAATGGTGTATATATATATATTACCTCTGAAGACATGCAATGATATAGGCAGTAAACGAAAACAATTTATAGAAATAAATTCTGAAGCTGCTATATTTTAGTGATGAGACAATAGTTGTTGTTTGTACGAGTATAGGAGTGGCAAGTGTGCGCACACATGTTAATATGTATACTCATCTATACACTACATGTTAGAATTTCAACCCGTTTATCATTTATATTCATACAATTAAAATCTTGTTTTTTGTTAAACAAATAAAAATAAAGAAAAACATTCGCAATCATGCTTTTTTGCCATCTGAAACAATAACACATATTTAAAATAATAATAATAATAATAATAATAATAATAATAATAATAATAATAATAATAATAATGATATTTACGTGCTAGTCCACAGAAAAAAAAAATCTGAAACAAACTGTTGTTCCATAAAACCCCCAGTTTTTTGAAAATTGAATACTCAGATTGATTGAGTATGTACATGAGGGACAATTAAAAAGTACAACATCCTCTACTTCCGCTGGTGCCGGCTAGAGCGGTTCTCAATTTTCAATTATGTTCGAAACAATGATCCCGAAGGACCAGAAAAATTTAACAGTACTGAAGTGAAGTATGGGACAATTTTTACTAGCTTACTTTAAGAGCTTTACATCTTACTTTTAAAATGCATGTAATGAAACTATTAAACAAAGCTACTCAATTTAAGTTCTTTTCTTACTTCATCTCTTGCATTTTATGCGCAATATAGACTAACTATTACATATGAAATAAGAACAATGACATTCTAATTTACATGATATCTTTACGTTGTGTATTATTATTACAGCAGTATTTCTTTACTGTAAACAGGGATGTTCTTTCTATGATATTTAATGCAAAAAAAGAATTACAAAATCATCCTAGAAATCTCAGAAAACATAAAATTCTTCATGTAGGGTACTCAATAGATTTGTCATCAGTATTTTCTGTCTTTTCAAATTTACTATACAACATCGAACCTTTACTAAGTAATTTTTGTGTATTATTTTCTGAAATAACATGTATGTACTTTCAGGACTGTCTCGATCCATTGCATTTAGCAGCATTAAAACATCAAGTGGACATGATCGGTATTTTACAAGAACTTGGAACTGATCTAAATGCTGTTAACAAGGTTAAACAATAATTACTATCTCATTTAGTTACAATCATTGTTACCTACTTAACACCAATCTATTAACTACTTATCCCAAATTCTGTAATGAAAATGTCATGTCAATTGGACAGATTTCACCATTTTTAACACTCATTGATGAAATTTTTTATAAAATATGTACAAATACTGTATAAAAAGAAAGTACCAAAGCTTTAAACAATTTAAAATAAACCTAGATCGAATTCATGAACGATAAAGCAATAACAACATCAACAACAAAATGTTGTTTTTATAACATGCCCCTGTTGAACCAAATAAAAACAAAATCAGAATATTACTTAAATCATGTATGAAGTGGGAACTAAATAACCTTTAATCACGATTCTTTTGTTAAAGAGTTACAGAGTTTAATCAACAAATTATGATTTTCAGAATGGAGAAACTCCGTTACATTTTGCCGCTGTTAATGGAAGTATTTTAACTATCAAAAAATTGTTCCATTGTGGTGCTAATCTTGACAGCAGAGATAAGGTATGTGTTAAGATTTACAATTGTGATATTTATAACTGAAAATACAAGCCAACTTATTTGCAAACGCCAACTTAATATGAAAACAATTCATATTTATTTTTCTTAGTTTTATAAAAGTAACCAGAACGATAGTCTTGGTACTTGTAGCAGGAAAATAGATAGTGTAAAACATTGCAAACAAATATTTAACAGTCAATCAATTGATACAAGTCTTTCTTTTTCTTGAATCGTGTCGTGCAGGTAAAATCATTATTTTACGAACGATCAGTCTATGCTTAGTCACGTTGATAATGTGACATATTATATTTATTGTATGATATTACAGGTTGGAGATACTGCTCTTCATCAAGCTATTCGTAAAGAAAATCTCAAGTCTATAGAAGTTCTAGCCGAGATTGGCGCAGATCTTTATGCACGAAACAATGTATGGCAAATTTAGTTATGTGGTTGTTACACTGTAATGCAAAGAATTTTATTAATATCATTTACATATAGTTTAGTCAGTTTTAGCTATAATTCTACATATTCATCTTAAGTTATTGATTTATGATGTTATAGCAAATAAATTCAAGCAAAGCTTCCACAAAATAAGACAATAATTATTGTAATACATAATTGAGAATATTGTTTTGATGTTGTTTTTTTCTATCAGATGAAAGAATGTGCAATTCATCTGGCAGCACGATTGGGTCGGTGGAGATCTGTTAGGCATCTTTTAACAGCTGGTGTCGATATTGACATACCTTACAAGGTACTTTTCTTCTTTTCAAATATCAAAGGGTTATTGACTTATATATATTTGTCATGATACATTGTCCACATACGGGTATATACTTGTACAGAAAATAAACAAAAATAAATCTGAAAAACACATATCAAATGCATGATTTACGTTAACGAATATCTTAATCAATTCTACTCTAATGTCTACGTAAACACTGTATTCATTGATAAAGGATCCGTTTTAAGATTTCGGTGACATATTGAGTTTATTCAACTTTATAAAAAGTTGAAAACAAACAACCAAATAAAACAAATAAATTACAAAATAGAATAAAAAAAACAGATAAAAAGGTATCAACATAGGAATGCTTTTTGTTTGTTCGTTTTTTTTTATATAAAAGTGTTTATTATGTGATTACTTGAAATTTTTGTGTGAACTTCATCAAACTTTCAAAAAAGTCCGCTATTTTCACTTTCACGAACCACACAGATTGTTTCAGTTATAGAAACGTCCCGCTTCAAACTCAAACTTTTGAAATATAAAATTGTAAATTTAAACAATTACCATTCTTCTTATCGATCATTTTAACGATACATAATCAAATTTCATGCAATATACATTTTACTCTGTTTGGTATTAACTTTAAACGTTTCATATACGTTTAAACATAGATATTTCTCCTTTTTAATATTTCTTGACAAAAATAAAAGTCAATTTTTTTTATTGACATTTACAGATATAGAAATTTTCGTTGTTGAAATGTTCGCCATTTTAACATTGAAGATTACAAAATTTATACACGAAACTCCTCCAATTTTTAAATTTTCATAAACTAAATCTAAATTGCTTATTTACATCTATAGTTTCTGTGTGTGTGTTCGTGCGTGCGTTCGAGCGTGCGAGCGAGCGAGCGAGCTTTCGTGCGTGCGCGCGCGTGTGTGTGTGTGTGTGTGGTCATTTATTAAAAAACAATGATGTAATTTAAACTTTTAATAATTTGTTGTTAAATCAACATATTTTTGATGTATGCATGGCCGACATATCAAAACCCGATCTTGAAAGTCGGCCATTTTGACCTTGAGAAATACATAGAGGATATTTGTTTGTTTGTGTGTAAGATGAAATTTTATTTCATCGAGTGGGCTTTAAAAACAGTATTCTCACGAGTGGCGAAGCCACGAGTGAGAATACTGTTTTTAAAGTTCACGAGATGAAATAAAATTACATCTTACACAACAAACAGACAAATTTTCTTTTTATTTTATGCTTAAAAACAAGTTAAAACGAAATTTCCATAATTTTAACGTTAATATTAAAACTGTTTCCCCCATTGAGAGCCCCATTTATTCGGAATTTCTCATTAAAAAAAAGAAGTCTTGAGCTGAAAAATAAGTCCGCCAATCAACATTAAATGACGGTGATATTTATTAATTTTATTAAAAAAATATGAATGATCGCTTGTTTTGATAATAAAAACAAACAATTCTTGTAGGAGAAAAAGTCCAACCATCCATCCATATTTCTGTTACTTAGTGCGAATTTATATTAGACCTGGCTTTGTAAATTGTAAGCGGCAGCCATTTTTTAAAGTTGTGTTTTTCATGGGAGGAAAATAATTGTGTAAGATTCAGAGGGATATAATTTGGATTTGTTAGTCATACACATTTTTAAAAGAAAGAAAACTTATTTGAGGATTGTAACAGACAAAAAAATAAGTGTTGACAGATGTGAAAACATTCAGAAAAGGAGCTAGGAAAATGGAAAACTTGGAAACCTGCTCAAGAACGCTGGGTTGATTTAACTTATTCTACGAGTTATGGCTGTCAATGCTTTCAATTTTTCATAAAGCATACGGCAGTTATTGCTCGTAGGATACTTTAATATGCCCAAATGTCATCAAGAGCAGTTTTGCATGGGGAAGGAATGTATTTTTGAGACTGTCAAAATGAAACAAAAAAACGAAATTTGGTGATTGGAATTTCATGAATTTGAATGAATAGAAGTAAGTTTTCTTCTTTTTATTACTTTAGACATTTAAGTTATTTATCAATTTCAGTTTTGCTTTTTCTTTAAACAGCCTGACATTGTCAGAATTGTCAGCAAAAATAAAATTGAGGTACCACATGGGGAAAATCTTAAAAAAGTAGTTTCGTCATTGAAAAGAGTGAAATTATATTTTGATAATTTTCACTGTGAAATTACCAAATATAATTTTCACGGATAAATCAGTAATCCACTGAAAAGCATAAAATAAAAAGATGTAACCCACACGTCCATCTTGTTATATCTCACTTGAATAAACTGAATATACTTATTGTATTTTGTACAAATTTCTACCGGTAAGTATTTTTGTTTTGATAACACAAAGACCTGAAAAATATGTGTCATAACTTACAAATTAATAATATAATAATATTCTTTTTAAGAATAGACTAAACATCACCTTACCCGGCACACAAGCTAAAAAATAAAGAAAGAAGTTTTGCTGTCAATTTTACATTTAAGTTGTTTCAAATACGACAATTATCATTATCAAGTAGAACATGAAAGAAATATATATATTGTATTTATTATGTAATATAGCTTTAATTAAGAACAATCATTTTATAAGAACAGGTAATGTGTAGCAGAGCAGTTCCTTGTCAAAATGCTTTTGAAGTATTAATTGTAAAACAGTAATAATATTAATATTCATAAAATAACTTTTACATTTTTAACAATCAGTAGAATTAAATTAAATAAGTGCCGAAAAAATATATCATTTAATATAATATATATTATATAATATATAATTCAATTTTACTGATTGTTAAAAATGTAAAAATGTATATATATTCTAACCTTTTCGTGTTGTTTCAACCTTTAAAGCAGAAGGCACCTAGTAATCAAAACCTCGTTCGTGAGATATCCGCCATTATGACCTTGACAATATCAACTGCAAAGTTGCTTACGCAATGCATCAACATTTCTTTTACTTTTTTTTTCATATTCTAAAACATAATGTTTCAATCAATAATTTTTCCATCATTGTTCCCTTCTTTTTTATTTTGTTTGTTCTTTTTTTAATAATATTTTGAATCCTATTTTTTAAAGTGCCTATCCTAGTTATAAATCAATATCTAACTTATAGGCACATTGTGCCTAAAAATTTTAAACATATGTTTAATAATGTTTTAATAATGGATTTAGAGCATGTAAGAATTATAACCAAAGAAAGAAGCACTGAACGTGAAGAAACGTGTCATAAAGGTAGGAAACTCTAAACAAAGTAATATTTTATCTTCTATACCAAAAAAGAAAAATTCACTATAACCATACAAATTACCAAAAGAACAAAGAAAGCAAAAATCATCTATGTGACAAACGAGTATTTTATTGACACTGTAACAAGATACCAAAAATAAAAAAGTTTTCGAGGAATAAAAATGATAAAATTATGGGCATAATGGGCCTTTAACAAATGTGTGTTTTAAGAACAGTTTCTGTAATTATAATAAAGTATGAATATGCATATTATGACATTTATTCTTCAAAAAAGAAAATTGTTTATTTTATCATTTTCTGCCATTAATTTCAATGAGCAAATGTTTGTTGACCTACCATTTCTGTAAAAATAATTCAATCTTTAGGACATTCTGATAAATAAACTCATCGCCTCTGTTGTTAGAGAACTAATTTTGATTTAAAGAATTTTCAAAAATGAATAAATAAATAATAATATAATAATGATATATAATATGATGATAAAGAAAAATAATAAAACGACAATATAAGATGTATTTAAATTTTTGAATTATGTAAATTTTTAAAAGCATTATCAACGTGATAACCTTATTTTTGTATATCAATTTAACTTGACATAAATGTGAAATCAGGAAGTTAAGCTAAATTTTGCTTCACAAATAAAATGCAAATGGCATTAAAATTAATTTTATATATAATTATATAAAAAACAGTTTAAATGACGTGATTTCTCTTGTTTTTTTTTTCAGAAAGGCCTTCAGGCTATTCATATTGCTGCTCAACATGGTTTATGCGAAGTGATTAAAGTACTTAAATTAGAACATGTTGATTTAAATGCAAAAGATAAGGTATATCCTGATAACTATTTCAGTGTTTATTAATTCATTTACTTTTTTTCTAATTCTTACCAAGTCTGCTTTATTATTCCACTCTTTCCACGTGTTTTTAAAGATGGCCGAAAGAACCACCACATCCGTTTATTCCATTTTATATATACAATTAATAAATTATAAAATGATGTTGTTTTCTTTAATGATTTTAAAAATAACAGAATGATATTTTTCTTCCAATTACAAATGTCTGTAAAGAATGAGTATAAAAACATGTATAACCAAGAGGGTAAATAAATATCTTATTAATATTCATAGAATAACAACAGTCCATTACATCACGCTGTGAGAAATGAGCACGAGGAAGCTATCCGCGTTCTAGTGGAATTAGGCGCAAATATAAACGAACACGGGAAGGTTAGTATTTCTGCTCTTCTTTTTACTTTCAATTCAACGACAGATTATGTAAATCATGGACCTGGGCATGAACATGGAAATATCTGCACGCGATTTCAGTAAAACTTTGAGTAGATAGAACGTCAGTAATAGTTTTTGATTTATTTTGTAATGTTATATTGATTATGTAAAAAAACGTTTCACAACACTTCACGCGGATAATAGCCGCGTTTTAGCGAGGCTATGACCAAGTAAAAACGTTATAAGTAAGCGGAATGTTTGTTTTCTTTACATGACAATAAAGCATCAAAATAAAATTAAATAAAAAAGACATCAAAATAATACATGTCAATAATGCATTAAAAAGTACTTAGGATTAAATATATAAACCTTTTGTTTTATTACTATTTAAAACTTAATTAGATATATGTTAATCGGAGTTTAAATTTGTTGATAGAACACTTGTCAGACATGTTTTTATTAAAACAATATTAACAAATTAAATAAAAACAAGTCTTTGACTTTTCAACTATTTTTGACAGCTGTTATTTCTCCCAGAAGGATCAGCATTTTTTTTAATTTTGAGTTTGTAAAGAAATCATTTTAAGTGTTTTTAGCATACGATAGATTAAACACGAGTAATTTTAACATATGCAATATATTCCGAAAGTTTAATTCACTTTGTTATGCAAACATCCAATGAAGCGATCGAAAAATAAACTGCCAAACTATTCTAGAAAATATTATTCAAAAGTTATGGGCATTTTTATATTTAAGTTTTATGTAAACTCTTTAATCACTTGCATTTTATATGTCTTTCATACAGACATTGCACTACGTATAACTAACTCTATATTTTTATTCTATTGTAATAATATGCAACATATAAAATCTTTATGCAACGATTGTCGTCACGAGTTCAATAAACATGCATTTTCTAGCATGCATTTTAGCGCTTACATAACGGTTGTTACGGTCACCAAAGGTCAGTTTCTTCAGTGTATTGATCTTTTAGCGTATTTGCATGTTCGTAAATAGAAATGAGTTTGTAATCTCCTTTGTATTTAAAGACATTCGGATTTTACTTAAAATTGTGGACAAAATTAAGAAAATATATACCTTTATCATTAATAATTAATTCAAGTAAATGTTTTTTTCTCCTATTTTAACTTATTAGAGACTTGATACACCCTTACATTTGGCGACAAAGGAGAAGAAAACAAAGATGGTGCATCTGCTAGGATCTTTGCGTGCTGACTGTGATATAGAGAATGAGGTAGAATTAAAATTTACATAGATTGAATGTATGGAAAGTTCAACTGATTGAACTTAAATTTACCTTGATTTGATAATATATGTAAACTATAGATACAACTTAGTTATACTAAGTCATTGGATACCTGTGCAAAGAATCAGTTTGCTTTGACTAAGCCCACCACTGTGTTTTATTGTTGCAACTGTGCACTAACTGATGATAATTTCAAGATGTCAGAATATGGTAAATAATATATTGATATGTTAAGCATTCTGTTTGTCTAAAAATAACTGAATACTGGTTGCTAATCCAGGAAAGAAAATAGGCGGACCGACCGCGGAGATAATGACCACGTTATGTGTGAAAATTGGCGTTAACACAAAAAAAAACACAAAAAACCAACAACAACAAAAAACAAAACACAAAAAAACACACCCAAATACTTAACCCCCCCCCCCCCCAAAAAAAAAAAAAAAAAAAAAAAAAAAAAACAACAACATAAAAAACCCCAAAAACAACAACAAACAAACAGTTTTTTTGATATCATTTTGCATTCTGAACAAAATTATTTAAATGAAATCATTAAACAGCCAAAATGAGACAAAAAAAAGCAATTCCGAAGAAAACAAATAGTACATTTAATGGTTGTCTTTTATGTCAGTTCATGTTTTTTCTGCTTCATATACATATTTGGGTTATGAGAAGAAGTCTGTAATAAAATTAAGGTACTTTATAGTTATAATTAACTAATTTTATATCCACTTTATACAATAACAATCTATATTTGTAGGCGTTTCTAAAGAATAAAGGCATCTTTTATTTTATACTTAATCTCCAAAGAAAAACAAATAGTTAAAAAATATGTGAATATTACAAGAACTGTCAAAACCATAGTCAAACAACAGCTCATATTGGTTTTGATTTGTACATCACAAATTCGGTCAAATCTCGCCAAGTAAAGTCAAAGAACAATGAAAATACGTTCATACGAAAGACCGGTAGGGCCATTTCAACTTCATGAATTCTCGATTTCATCTTCATAAATTCACAATTTTGACTTCCCGAAGTCCCGTTTTCAACATACGGAATTCACGAATTCACGATTTCAGCTTCATGAATTCCCGATTCCAACGTTGCGAGTGGAAAAAATGCATACCCTCAGAAAACTACTACAACATAATTTCGGTCTCGCGAAATATCAATTTTCCACCGTTGCTCGTAGCAAAATACAAAGCTTCAGAATCTAATATATACGGAATATTATGTTGTAGTAGCCTGAGGCCTTGTATTTTGCTACGAGCAGCGGTGGAAATTGATATTGCGAGACCGAAGGTCTAGCGAGATATCAATTTTCCAACGTTGCGAGTAGAAAAATACATAGCCTCAGAAAGCTACTACAACATAATTTTCCTTTTATTATGTACCTTTTCGTTTTATTCAGAAAATGAAATGTAGTTGTAAAAAAATTTAATTTTTGAAAAAAGGGCCCCGGCCCAAAAAATTTAATCTTTTTTCCCTTTTTCCAAAAAACGATATACAAATTAAGATGGGAACCAAAACTCAAAATAGTCCGACACTTCCATATACATGTTTGTTACCGTATTTGTCACTAACATAACACGGAAATTTCTATCCGTTGAAGCGTATTTGCGCTTCAAGATTTGCGTGTATTTTAGGGAGAAAATTTATAGGTATATAATAAAACATAATATTCAGTATATATGATTAATTCTCTCACCAATTAGAATCAAATTTGATAAAAAAGTTTGTTTTTTGTAATTTTGTCACCGAGTTGAATTGTGTTTAGTATAACTAAGCAAATACCGTATATCAGGATTTGCTTTACATTCGCGTGAAATAAATATCGCGGAAAATAGATTCCCTAAAATTTCCTCCAATTTAATATGACATTTCGCGAGATTCTGGAATTTTTTTATGCTTTTGTACCCAGTTTAATCGTATATTTTATATGCCCGAAAGAATTTCGGGCATATTATGTTATACCCCCTGGCGTCCGTCCTTCCGTCCGTCCGTTAGCAATTTGGTTTTCGGTGCATAACTTAAGTTCCATTTGGTCCACAATATTCAAACTTCATAGGATGATTGTCCATATTGTGTAGAAGGTCAAAGGTCAAGTTCACTATTACCTTAAAACTGAAAACAGTTTACGGAGCATAACTTAAGATCCATTTGGCCCACAATATTCAAACTTCATAGGATGATTGTACATATTCGGTTTCCGCTTAATAACTTAACTATTAATCAACCTACAGCTGTACATTTTTATAGGATGAACAGCCAAGTCTAAAACATGACCCCTATTGATTTTAGGGTCATAAGGTCAGGGTCACAGTGATCTTTACACTGAAAATTGTGGTTTTTGGTGCATAACTTAAGTTTCATTTGGCCCACAGTGTTCAAACTTCATAGGATGATTGTCAATATCGGGTAGAAGACCCTTAATGATTTTGGGGTCACAAGGTCAAAGGTCAATATTAAATGACCTTAATATTGTTAACAGTTTTACAACTGTCAAACTTCATAGGATGATCACTTATATACTTAAGATCTGTAACAGGAAGTTTTCTAAAAGATCGTCACTCACACAGCATCAGAGTATATGTATATATGAAGGTTCTTCAGCTATAAAGGAGGATTGCTTTTTGAAGGAGGTAATACTTTATTTAATTCCAACGTCTTACAAATGCTTCAGCCTTAGTAAAAAAAAAACACTTTCGGGCATATAATGCTCCGCCTAGCGGTGCTCTTCCTACATTGATTCCTACATATCAATTTGTCAAATAACAATTTTCAGATGTCATGCTTGTTTAGAATTAAATGTTCTTGGTGCTTATTTTTATCCATATTTTTTAAGTACATAAAAAACCTTAAGTGACACAGTGAGTAAACAAGTATTTATGTTAACGTTTATTTAGCCGATTCACACGTTGGAAATAAAATAGGTATACAGCCAGTGTGCAATACCGAATACAGATATATAAGAGACGTAAACAGTACAGGTTTTTGTGATACTTATGCATAAAGTTATATAACCTAATTTCATCATGTGATGAACACGTTTTACATTGTTAACATGTTGTTTGTGGAGGATGAATAAGATGTTTACATATAAATCAATATCATACACAAAATCAAAGTGAAGTAAATGTCTTTCATAAAACTGGCATAGTTAAAGGGACTCCACTGAGGTTTTTTGATATGATGGACCTGAAAATATTTTTTTTCCAGATAAATGTACCATTTGATGTAGGTTTAGACCACTAATCTTTGTGCAAAATTTCAGATCATTCGCGCTCTTTGTTTTTCCAGAATAATTATTCAAATTGTAAAAAAATGACCCAAAATGAAAAGCGTTTAAACACTTTTCACTCAAATCGGGCTAAGAAAAGCATAAAAATACGATTTTCAATTTATTTCAAAGTATATTTCTTAACTATCTTTGCATATATTTCTGTTTAAAGTGCCCAAGCTCATTTATGTAAGAAATTCAAATGTTATGCTTTTAGGCTTTTTAACCTCAGTGGAGTCCCTTTAACAAAGCAAATACTTCCAAAGTATAAAAACATTGTACATAAACTTGGAAATATTTATTATTGTAGCTTGATTTTTACTCTTAAAGAGCTCTGTAAACTTTAAAACAGTTAGTCTTCTATAATAATAGGCTTTTATATATTGTTTTCTAAACGATTCGTACAACGGACATGATATAATAACAAAATGGTATTCATCTTCAATATCTCTTTTTTGACAAAAAATACAATAACGCTCATTTCGTTCAACTCTGTTTCTAGAATAGCGCCCAGTTGCAATAGCCAGTTTATGTGAAGATAATCTTAATTTGATAAAGCATTTATTAAATAAATATTGTTTTAAATTGCTTATACATAAATAATGTTCCACACTCCTGCAATCGTTTGAACCAGCTTTGCTTTAAAAAGTAGATAAAATTTACCTTAATCAACACAAGGTTGGTTGTTCCAAACATATGAAAACCCATAGAAGTCATACAGACTTTTTACTTGATATGCTCAGTTATTTTTGATAACATTACATTTACAAAAAGTATCATAAAATCTGTTTAATGATATATTTGTTGATGATACACACGTGCAAGGGATACATTAATAGGAAAATGGAAAAAAAGTTTCACCTGTGAAAACAATAAATCTCTGACAAAAAAGTGGTCTCTCTTTGTCAGTAGTAAACGCCACAAAAAAGACACATCTAAAATTGGAGTCGCTAATATTAGATTACTACCGCGGAATTTGCCATACGCGAAAATAACCAGAAATTCGGTTAATGAAAATGGCTTAAAAGGTTTATGTCCGTTGAGAAGTTTAGCTCAGATAAGAGAACCCTTGTGCTGTAAGTAAAATGTGAACATTTTGAGTCTTAGATTGGTCACAAAAGTTTTAGTCACTCAACTTTAGAACTCTGTGTGCATCTGATAAATTTAGCCTGAAAAGAAAAAAGGATTAAAATGTTATTATTGATTAACTAAGTCAGCAATAAGCTTTTTGCAAACATATTTCTGTTAAAAAGAGGTGTCGTTATAGGACATGAGAGAAGTTAAAGTGCTGGGAGACGTCCTGGCCTTGATGAAGGGGTATAATGATTTTGTAGATGTTGTAACACCGCACGTTCGGGTCCAATGCACTTTGGGGTCGGACCCCAAAGTGCATTACACTTCGCATCACACTTTAGGATCCAACGCACTTTGGGGTCAAAATCGAGAAATTGACCCCAGAGTGCGTTAAAATGCTACATATCAACGCACTTTGGGTTCCAGAGTTCTGAACGTGTCAATTAAGTTCTGCTTAAATACTGAGTACTGACTTATTTCCGGTCTGCGACATTAAGATATTCGGGGTGGAGTTCAAGATGACGATCAATACTTTATTTGATGCTTAAGTGATAAAAGTTTCATTATTTACCACTTGAAATATCTGAAAATTATGTCCATATAACAAAGTACATAAATTGTGAATGTATTCCTTAAATTGAAAGATGCTGCGAAAAGTATCCTGTTCTATCCGTCATTTACTTGATATCTTTTGGTGCCATATTGAGCCCCTTTGTAAATTTGATGGCCAGAGGCTTTTTAGGGCAAACATGAATTTTATAATGTTTAAATAATGGTATCAGAGAAATATAAGATGCTTGTTACCTGAATAAAATAGCGATGAATGTCAAATAGTTTGACAGAAAAGTAGTAAAATATAAACAATGTAGTATTGTACTTCCATATAAAATACTAATTCACTATAACTGCACTCATTGCCAAAAAACAACAGATGAAAAAGATGGTTCAGGTAATTGGCCAATGAGTACTTTTTGGATACTATAGAAGACCAATAAAATTTAAAAGCTTTTAAGAAATACAAATAAAAGCGTAATGGGCCTTTAATACGTTATTTTTATAATCTCGGGCGGAGGTGGGGGGAAATCGTCACCCCACCATCCCTTCTAGACCCCCATCTTAATGTGTGACTACTTAAATAGTTTATGATATTTTTGAGTACAGCCTGTACGGACTACTACTTAAGGCTAAATCTACAAGGGTGAATCAATAAATTCGTAAACTAATTCAATAGCGTCAAAACTACTGGTCCGTTTAAAATGAAACTTTAAATGCTGTGAAAACAGATTATTTCAAATTGAAACGTACTATGAACACAACTTTGACTTCATCACTTATGACGTCATAAACCGTAAATGACGTCACGTTATTGGCGTCCGTTCGAAAATGGCGTTACACAGCGTCAACGAACAACGCATCGTTATAAACTTTTACACAAAACTCGGAAAGTCTTCTCCCGATATTTGTGAAGATTTGCAAAAAGTTTACGGAGAGGCTGCTCTGTCAAAAGGTGCCATTTCAAAGTGGATAAAGCGGTTTTAAGAAGGTAGAGAAGCAACTGAAGACGACAGTCGTGCAGGTAGACCAGTGAATGCAACATATGAAGAAACAGTTGCTGCCATTCAGGAGTATTTACTTCGAGATAGACGAGTAAATGTGAAGCACAAAAAACGATAATTTCCAAGTCAGCCGGGAAGGTTATGGCCATTATATTTTGTGATACATACAGTGTAGTGCGAGACCACTTTGTTCCTCCGAAAACGACAGTCACTGGGAACTATTATGCAACATTACTTAAAACGGAAGTCATGGCGGCAATAAGGAGAAAGCGCCCACATCTACTTAGGTCCGGATTCATATTACACCACGATAACGCGCCGAGCCGTTCAAGCCACGTTGTCATTGATATACTAGAAAAACTCGACGTCGAACTGTTACTGCACCCACCCTACATCCCGGACTTAGCACTTTGTGACTTTTGGCTATGTCTAACTTAAAAAGACAGCTGCGGAAGATGTCACGTGACGGGCTACAACACGTGTTCGAGTCATGGGTGGAGTGATGGGACGAGTGCAAATCGTGCATGGGACGTTACTTTGAGGAGTAATTATTTTAGGTATTTGAATTAAATCATTTCCCCGCTATTGAATTAGTTTACGAATTTATTGATGCACTCTCGTATACCTAGTCAAAATTCTTAAATGTAACATTTATATAAGCTAAATAAATAGCCCTTTCAACATATTATCAGGCACATTTTGTTTTACTAAAATGTCTTATTAAGAATTCCCAGGATTTATACGTTTGTCTTTGCTAAGACTTATATTTCTATAAAATGTGTAAATAAAAAAACGGGAAAAATGATGCAATTAGCTAAAATATATTGAGTTAATGAAAGGTGTACAGTACATTCTTTAAAAATAAATCGAAAATGTAAGAAAAACATATTTTGAGCTTATTAATTGATACAAATTCTTTATTTGATGAAAGTTCTTCACTAACTGACCAAGATCATTTAAAATCCCTTTTGATTCTACTATAATTCAGGGCACATGTTTGCGTCTATTTAATACCTTGATTTTTGTTTACCGTTGGCGTTGACTACAATATGTTATTTAAAACATAATGAAAATTCATTTTTATTGATTGAATTTTTATGACCCCAAATTGTGCTCGTTTGTCTGATGTTAAAAAATGCATATGTACCTGTTTAACGCACTTTGGAGTCTGAACCCAAAGTACGTTGGACCCCAAAGTGCGGTGTTACAATTCTTTACATTTGATAGTTCCATGACTCTTTATTCTTACTAAAATAGAAAGTGGCACTGAGAAGATACTGTAACCTTCATGAGACAGTTTTTTTACCAAGAAAGGTCTGAAGCAATGTACATCAACGGTAGAAGAGAAGTGTGTGTATCAATACTTTAGCACCCTTTGTTTAAACTGCGAAATAGAGACAGTTCATACAGACACTTTTGTCGATACATTGTATATAGTATGTACTATTTTAATATAGTTAATAATTTTCTTTCATTTCGACTTTTAATCTAACAAGAAGGGGAAGTGATATCGAGGAGATTTTTTTCTATAGTTAAACCAAGAAAAGTCTAAAGGTTTCGAATCTACATGTACCCCTTCATCGTGTAAAAAGGAAAAGTCTTAAAACATTTGATAAAATACACAATATAGACAATGTATAATGTTATACTTATGATGTTTATAGTGTGAAATAATTTTCAATTATGCATTGAAAAATAGGAGTAACTTGTTAACATAGTCTCATAATATAAATTAGACTTTAATAATTATATATTTCAAATGAAGAAAGTATATGTAATGTCTCAGTATTATATTACTGTGTAAATATTTAAATGATAACAAGGGCTTTTCTCTTTTGCCATTATCACAATTGTTAAAATTAACCTTTTGTTCATTATATCAAGAAAATTGTGTAATTGTTATTCGAATTTGTATCAATTGTATGTAATAAAAGCCATGGTATCACTCGCAATAATGATGTTCTGATATGTATATATATTTATATATGAATATTAATGTTTTTATAATATTTTTATTGATACCTTGATATATTGTAATTCTGTTAAGATGAGGAGTTTAATAAGAAATAAGAAAAATTGTTCTGTTATATCATATGATGTTTCTAACATTGAGAAAAATGTTAGCTTTACGCTACATTGTTATGTGTAACGTAACCATTTCATTATGTTAATATAACATGTTCGCTTTTTGTCGACATATATAATTAATGCAACATAGCAAATGTAGTATAGCTCGATATAAAATATACCATAAAGATCGCAAAATATTATGCGCAATGTTAATATATATCCTCGGTTAAAGTAATCGAGGTTTTACTTAAAGATTGCGTCAGTAATATATATTAAAATCAGTTAGATGTGTACATCATTCGAGGTTTTTTTGCTTGCTACAATGTTTATTTTCTATCGTATACTGAATCCGAAAAATACACACATTTGGTGCGTGCGAAGAAAAGTTAATTTGTATAATGATTTTCCTTGGTTGGCCATTTTTATTCTTGATTAATCGTTTAATTTAGAAAGGACAAAACTATTGATATGGTCACAGAATATTTTTTATGCAAGGTTTATTATTGATTTATAAACATAATGATAAATGTAAAATGGAATTATAAAGATGCATTTTCAGCTCAATTCAGTCAAGTTATTATGTTTTTATAACTATTCGAAGGTAACTGAAAATAATGTTTCTTATTTGATTAAGTTATATTTTACAGATTTTGTTCCAAGAATAAGATTCACTTCTTTTCTGGGATGTTTGTAATTTTGAAGAACGATTCTAAAGAAGTTAGTGAAATGGGATACCTTGAATTTTACTGTGTGCTATCTTTTTTATATTCTGTATATAAGAAGAGACATTAAATTTTACATGCCTTTGTAAAATGTTCTTAACTTATTCATGGAAGGCGTGCAGTTATTGAGCATACATATTCAACTTTTAATTACATTATACATAGTAAGTGGACTATTTTAAGGGTCTTCTCACTAAATTATGTAAGAACACTTACGGAAGGTGGCTGGTCTTGAGATTTTGGTTGGATACCACGCCCCTTCCCTCGATGGAGTAAGGTTGCGCAGCCGACTCGCAACATACTGACATACTACGTTCATAACTGTGTGTTTTCCAGTTTATGTACGATGGGAGATTATTGTCAACAAAGTCATTTTAGATTACACTGATTTATGAAACATTGAGATGTTATTGTCATGTAAACACTACTTAGATTCAACGTAATTAATTATAAAAAAGGAGTCAATTTTGTAGCGGTTCGCTTGAATAAATTGTCCTGGTATTTTTGTTTTACAAATTTTGGTCACGTAATTCACTGTAACGTATTACACAAACTTTATCATTCTGGTTGGTGTTCCTTCACAATCGTTGACTTCGTCCACCATGACTGCATTTAACATGGAACATTTAAGTAAGTTTTTCAATTTACTCATAAGCAATGTGGCACATATCTGCCATAAAGTAATATATGCTTTAGACTCCTTGGACGCGATAATTACAGATTTGCACATGTGTGTTGGTGGCATTTCTTTGTTGGTAATATCTTTAAGTTGGTAGAGTACTTGTGTTGGTAGAATATTTGTGTTGGTAGTATCTTTGTGTTGGCAGAATTTTTTTGTGTGTTGGTAGTATCTTTGTGTTGGTATATATTTGTGTTGATAGTTAACTTATGCGTTTATTGTATTTTTGCGATGTAGTAAATCTTTATGATTATTTCTTTAGTTAAATAAATCAAACTTTATGCCTGAACTGATTTAAAATACACAAAAACAACATCAACAAGAACAGCAATTTGTCAACTTGTAAGTCTTTAATGATTATGAAATTTAACTATCTTTTAATATTACCTACTTTATATTTGCAGTCAGCGTTATGTCCCCTATACTATGCGGCGGTTAATGAAGATGTGACAACTTCTAAGTGCCTTATTAGATGCGGAGCTACCTTGAACCGACTTAACTCAGTATGAACCTTTTACAGAAATAGATGCAATTAGAGCTGATATTCGCATATTTTACATTTTCTTTTACAAATTTTCTTTGTCAATAATTATATACAATGATGATAAGTAAGACTATGAAAATATGTATCATGAGCGTTTTCAGCTCAACTGCGAACACACTTCGTTCAACTCTTATCATCTGTTATTTTTTGATGTTTGAAACCTCTGACACAGTCAATAACATTGTAAATGACTCATCTTTTCAAATAACAGTTTTGTTTCTTATGATCCGAGAACTTTTAATACTGTGTTATTCAATTGTTCGTTACCTGTTTTTTCATATTTTTAGTTGTTATTTTTTTATCTCATTTTATTTCAATTTTTTATCATGACATTCAGTTTTTCAAAACCCCAAATGCTGTGTTTATGAATTTTGAATTGTTTGATTTTGATGTTTTTGACCTAAATTTATTCTTTCTTTTTTATTATGTTGATTTTCGCTATATTCATGCCTGATCCTTTAATGTTTTCAAGATCATTTTCCCCAATCGTTTAATTGTATACATTATAATTGCCAGTAGAGATCTTATCTTACAGGAAGGAGAAGGATTGGTTCATATAATGGTAGAAGAGGAGAAGTTAGAGGGATTATCTACAATGAAAGAACTCAAAGCAGACTTCGGACTGTTGAATGAGGTATATTTTGAACATGGTTTAGATATACTAAATGAAAATTAAAACAGCAAATATGCATGCAAGTTGCAAATGAATCAATCCATATGACGACCGTAGAGTAAAATCAGCCGGCAAATCCTCCATAATCAATGAAGCTGATTAAGCAATATTCAACTTATATCATCACCTTACGCAGAATAGTCTAATATATTTCTCTGATGATATAACTTAGAACCTTACGAATGCTTTATTTAATACAAAAGGCACGGAAAATGATATAACTTTAGAAACATGTTGAATTCTTTTGCAATATTTCAGGGTGGAATAACATGTGTTCACATTGCATCCAGACAGGGACAAACAAAAGTGCTCAGACATATGAAAGATATCGGTGTGAATTTATGTGTACAAGATAAGGTAGGATCGGCATTCAATACAAGTGTTAATTGAAGTAAGGTTTATTTCAAATATGTGCAGGAAACTATCTAGGATGGTATCGCATGGAGAAATGACCGACTGGTCTCTCTGAAATGAAGTATTGAGAAATAGAAATAAGATAAAAATAGAAATTTAACTTAAAACAACTGTTGATTAACTTAAACCTAAATCATAAAATGTTCTGGTCGTGGCGCGTTTGGTGCAATACTTAACATAAAATATAATGTTAGTCCTGTGCTTAGGTTGTTGCTTTGTGTTTAAGTTTTACTGTTTGTGGCCGCCGATACCTTAAACCTTTCTCTCATGAGCATATTGTGAAAAATGGCCGTTTTCATATAAAAGCCTCCTGTTACAAGTTCAAACTGCTATGAAATTATGAAAAATGCTTCAATACTGATCAACCTTGGCACAAATGTTGACTGAACCATTGTCTTTGTAACGACATGCTCAGTCTTAAATTTCCTGTTACCGTGGCAACGAGGGGACATCTCAAAATTGCCAAAAATCACTATTTTGTGTTGAATTTTTCCATCAAAATTGATTTCAAAGTGCTGCAACTTCTCAATGGATTGAGATAGAGTCAAAGGCTTTTCAGCGTTGAGTATACATTACCTTAGCAATAAGTCATTTTAGTCTCTCACAAGTCCAAGGTTTTCTTGGCGATAAGGGGGACTATCGTACCCCTTCAAACCCCCCAAACCGAAGGGGGCACATCCCCCTTCTTGCAACCCCTGAAGTACCTTTATGGGTGTGGGGGAAAAAGTGATCATTTTTAGCAACATTTCCCAAACGAAAAAACTTCATAGGGTAATGTTTCATTGTTTGGGGCCTCAAAAAGAGAAGGGTTAAATAATACACGTAGGGACAACGAAAGTCGCAATATGATCTCTACTGTATTAATACGACGTAAAGTATGTTTAAAAGGTTTATAATAAATCAAACAAATTTGCGATTATTTTTCAATTACGTTTGTCGAATCGTTTTTGCATTGTAACATTTATGTCATAAAGACATAATTAGAAAGCATTTACAGTATCTATAATTAATTGTATTTCCTGTATTATTTCACAATCTTTTCACTTATTTTCAAAGCGAGGGTTATCAGCACTTCATGCTGCTGTTATTGAAGATAAAGGTGATGAAGTAGACATGCTGAACAATATTGGTGTCGATCTTGATTGCAAGTCAAAGGTTGGTAAAGCAGTATTCATACAATTCAGAAGAAAATAATTAAGAAGCGACTTTAACAGTATGTAATTATGATAAATATCCTTAATTGTTAGTATGTATATGAGGCACATAAACATTAAAATGCCTTTATAATGTTAAATAAATTGTAGTTAATTACTTAGTTGTTCTGTATCTGTGTGTGTTTTAAATTGTTTATTAAACTTTGCTATTCCAATATAAAATTTGTTTTAGGATTTTACACGCAATACGGACACGCCACAACTTTGCAAAACAAGCTGGCCACCAAATGATGTCCAAAGGCAAGATTATTGGATGATCAGGGTATTTTCAAATGCTTTATTTTATTTATTAGTTTAATCCATTAATATCGATAAACATTCAGCCTTATCCATAAATTTTTATCTGTCGATTGAATAGAAATAGTCATTTTTATTGGACCGTTCTTCCTTTGTGACCATACTTTTATTTGTCTCATAAACAACTATTTATTTCGCTATGTTTATTATGATTGTTGAAAGAAACCGGATTCTATAGACAACGATTGTATCAGTCTGAACTATTCGCCATTTCAAAACTCAGTACTCTTTTCCTAAATTGTTTTGTTCATATTAATTGTATCACATTTTTTTTACAAATCGTAGTCGCTAGAAAGTATCATATAAAATTTATTGTCGTATTAATCCCAGATATATCTGTGTTTTTAAAATCAATTTTATCAGTTTGATAATTATTGTTAAATATGAAATTTCTAGGCAATATTTGTTACATCATTTACTTACGAAAATTCTACAGCCTTTCACTCATCTAATAGGATTGTGATTTCTAAACAATTGAAAAGGAAATAACAATATAATGAAACAATCTGATCAATTATTATCTCAGGTTGGAATGACACCTTTGCATATGGCATTTTGCATGGAAAAGGATGATCTTTTGGCACATCTTGCTACTTGTGGTGCAAGTATCAACCTTGGAAACGATGTGAGTTTTAACAGTTTTGTGGAATGTTATGAGAGCTATATGAATGAATAATTTTATTGTACAAAAGGCAAATGCTTGTGAGTACATTTATACGAACTTATAATACAAGTGTTTTTTTTTTACAAAATAATCTATGGCGGCCCAGTTGTATATAAATTATCATCAATGTATGTAATCTTAAAAAATATCAAGCATCACTGCATGCAATAGAAATATGAAATAAATGTTATCAAGTATGCTAACGTATCATTTTGCAAACAATAAGAGGCAATTGGTGAGCCAACAGTATCAATCAATAAAAATATAAATGCTTTCATGTAAATGTCTCATTTAAAATATTTAATTTGACTTTTGTAGTATGTTCAAACAGTTATACACCTATCATAGGCATCGTCAATAAGATTTTGAAAAATACAAAAAAGTAAACGTTAGTATTCAACTTTACACACACACATACACAAAAAAATATTTATACCAAAATAGAGTCTTCCACAAGAGAAAAAAGTATAGTAGTATCTGAACTTTTATAATGTTCTTTGGAAGAGCAAACTTCGAGTTTTATTAGATATGTTATAAAAGAACACATTCAATTAAACGATATTAAGGTACATGTATAACCATCCTAATGGGCACTGTAAGAAACTGAAAATAACATCATAGGTCAGCTTATAATGACAAAGATAATACTTAAGAAAATGAAATGTAACAATATTCAATAATTAAATGGCGATAATTCAAGAAAAAAGGAACTAGCGTTATATTATTTATCACATATGACAAAGGTGTGGATAACAAACATATTTTTGAATATTGAGTTAAATCTTAGAACCTACTAAAATATAAGGACAATTCTTTAACGTGTATATAATGCGGAAAATATTGACACTAGAGTTATATTACTATTATCATTATTTTATGGATGTTGATATGAAACTTAATTTTCAAGTTTGAAGTAAATCCTTTCAAAAATAAAAAAGTTAGAGCAAAACAAGTAATGTTTATAAAAAATCCAAGTTCAAAGGGAGAATAATTTTAGAAATATTCATGCTAGAGTTATGACTCTTGTTTCACATGATGTGAGTGCTAATTAGTAACAAATATTTGAAGTTTGATGTAAATAAAATAAAGCTAAAAATAAGGAAACTCTTTAATACCATTCTTATGAAAAATATTTTCCTATTGATGATTTTACAACTTACAAACAATACAAGCAAAATTATTGTTTCTGCTTAAAATGTTTGAAATATGTATAAAATTGTAAGCTAAATCTAATCGAAAATATTCCCAATATTCACTCAACCAAGGAACTGTTTTCAAAGTTTCCCAAATCTTTTTCCAATATGTATATTTGTTGTTCCTGTCAAATGTGAAAACATTTACCGTGCAATATTATGACAATAATTAACACTTTTTCTTTACGAAAAGGATCAGAGAAATAGAATTTACATATATAATGTTAAAAAAGTAATGTTGTTGTTATAATTTGACTGAGGAGTAAAATTATAAAATAAATACACAAGGTCAGATGTTCAATTTATTCTTTTACTTTTATTGGCTCAATTTCGCAATGACACTGGCTGTTTTACATTTTTAGTGGTGGACAAATATGTAAATTTTTACGCCTCCGATGGGCGGCATATTAAAATCACATGGTCCGTCTGTCTGTCCGTTGTCTGTGCGTCCTCACTTACACAGCTGTCGTTTCCGGACTGTAATTTTGCCATGCATTGAAGGATTTAAAAATAAAACTAGCATAAATGTCTGGTGTGCCGCATCTAAGACCCATGTCCCGAACTTTAAGGTCAATGTTACACTAACAGTTTGAAGAATTAGAGAGCTTAAAGGTACACACATTCGTGTCCGGACTCTAACTTTGTCGTGTATGAAAATATCTTTAAGTACTCTTGCATATATGTTTATCACATATTAGTTTTTGTCCGTTTTTTTTTTCATATAAAATATGAAATTAAGAAAAAAAAAGTTTTATGCATAAGACTTTTAGTGTTACTGTAAATTGTATGAAATTGGATAAGGTAACAACTTAAAATGATTATAATTTGAAATCGGCATGGTAAACTTTCTTTATATTTCTCACAAATGTTTAGATTTGTATCAAGATGATGAACATTAAATAATACTTTTATGCCCCTATTTTATATGACAAAATCTACCGAGTTTTCTTACTCCACCCTTTTCTTATTTGACGTAAAATAACAAGTTCCTCTCTCAATAAACAAAAAAAACTTTTTATAGACATTTGTCATTGGTTTTGTTTGTAGTTATTAAAAAAACTATGGTTACTTATTAAGTACTTTTAACTAAGACAAATATGAAACTACCAAAACTTTTTAACATATTCCTAGTTGCTGTTGTTTAAAAACTAATAAAAAAGTTATACTTCGATTGTCAATATTTTTCAAACAAGACAGTAAGCTTTTTTTTAATATTTTTTATTTATGTCCAGAATATATCAGATAGTACAGTTTATTATTATTTATTTATTATTTCATAGAAAATATTAGTAGGAAAGAAATATTTCTCCATTAAACAAAACATTTTTATTAACAGATCAAAAGTTTTTCGTGACTTTAGAATAACTCGCGCATTAAAAAAAGGAGAACTCTTTTCGTGACTCATACCGCGGGTTAAATAATTTTCTAGGTCACGATATGTGATAACACTCTTCTAAAAATAGATTCTGCATCACCTGTGCTGATTTTCGGACAAGCGATTAGGGTGTATACATTATACATGTAATAAACCAGCGGATACTTGGAAAATTTGGACTTGTTCTGCTTGAAAGTAGAAAATCTGAATTTTATCAGATTGGTATGGAAGCCTTGGAGGGTCACTTTTGAGTTTCGACTTATAGATTTATTTTACTATTTTCTTATGACTTTTGATTTATGACTTTTGATTTATGACTTTTGATTTATGACTTATGGATTTTGTTATTTCCCACGCGCTTGCCATTATAATTATAATTTCCAAGGAAAATATGGTAGAATATGACAACGATTCAGACGAGGTAAGTTCATTTACCTAAGTTTCCTGGAGACTTATATGTGGGCTCATATGCAAGAACAGAATGTTATTCTTATATAAGCCTTTTAAATTGATTAAGAAAAGAAAATACTTTGCTTGCATTGCATTGCATTGCATTGGGTATCCATTTTTTATTTTGATTTCCGGAACAGGGATATATAATCTCAAATTGACATACAGCGTATGAATCAAACGCTTTATTGTTTTATATAGGTTCCAGTTTTAAATCCAAACCAGTCTCGCATTGTGCTGCAGTTACAATCGGTTTTCACTCGTAGTTTATTCTTCGTCCATCTTATATTGAATATAGACCAAATTATAAGCCTTATTTTGACAAAGAAATTTGTGGTTAAGAAGTTTCATGAAACATGGTATTTCAAAAACAATAAATCATACAGCTTTGAAACTTCACACACTTGTTTAGAACACGCTCTAAGTTAGAAATCTCTGAATTGCATTGTTATCAAATTCTGCCTCTTTTTCGATTTTGTATTTCATTTTGTATATATATGTATTTCATTTCAATTAAGATAACACATACTTTTAATGTTTTCAGTTTAAATTCTAGTAAAGCTACCTGTAGGAATTAAGGACGTGCTGTCGAATGGTTTCAACTACAAAGCAGTTGCAAGAGCATCAGCAATACATATTTGTCAAGTTTTCGGAGCCAGTTAAGAAGACTAAGAGGTTTCATGGCAAAACAGCGTTCGTTCCGAGTGGAAAGTAGTACAGTTTAGCAAATGCAAAATGTCCAAACACTAGTGATTTGGTTTTCTTCGTTATTGTCTATGGAAATATTCAGACATTTTTGGAATACGAGCGTTACCATTTCACACTTGTTTCAGACGCTCGATAATTTTCAAGTTTTAACCCCACCACTTATTGTGGACGCTTTATTGGAAACACGCAATGTCACGTCCCGCCACGTTTATTTTATACTGTCCATACCTCCAATATGGTACAAATCTTGTATCGATATACAGGTCATGGTGAGACAGAGAAAAGTGTGAAAAATCATGAATTCATAATTCTGGTTTTCATAATTTTCAGTATTTGCCCATTGTAAATTTTAAAACTTAAAAGAGAGGTATCGAAATCAAACTTTGCATGTTCATATAGCTTGGCGAGGCAGAAAGAAACATACTTCTTGCTATTATAGCTACATTTTAGAAAGTCCCCTTTGTTGTTGATTTTTTTCTTCATTTTTTTCATACTTAGATTTTGTTAAACTCATAATTATCTCAAAAACTGTTGGAGGCATCAACTTGAATTTAATGGCGAGACAGAGTGCATTGTGTTGTTAACAAAACTTTTGATTATAACATTTAATCGTTCTTCTAAGTTAAACATTCCCTTTTTCGACATGCTGTGGGTTGTGGGTATGCACATTACGAAAGACTATGATATTTCCATTACATATAAAGTCGGTTATTCTTCGGAAAAAAAACGAACTTGTGGACGTTATTTAATATATACATTATACAATGTATACAGTTTCTTAAAGTTAACTAGGAAATTTTTAGCTAGAGACTGTGTTTGTTTTTTCTCTCTTTTGAACAGTTAGAAATGAAGAAATAACGCTTTGACAATGATTTTAAAAATCTTGACTTCAATAATAATACAGTCACTCTAGCGTTGCTAGTTTACCTAATTCAAAAGCTTCGTTAGATCACTCATGATTTTCTTAGTTTTTCATCAGTAACGTATCAACGATGTGTTGTTTTGTAGAAATATTGCATGTATATATGTCTTCTGTGACGTAAATACTTGATGTTTTTGTTGATGGCAGTGTTTATTTTTAGCTGTTCCTTAGTGTTAGCTTTTAAGTAAGGCATGTGTGCTATTTTAGAAAAAAAAATGCTTACCTCTGTAGTTCTTATCTTTGTTTTTAAATTAAATATAATGAAGCTCAAATTCAGTTTGTTTTGCCTATCTAATACATTTGTTTTCTTATA